TTTTTACCTTGGAGAATATGGATGAATTTCAAATTTGATTAAAACTCTTTCAAATTCAAATGATATTTTTTAATTCATTAAATCATGCGAATTTTCTTTCCTTCAAATTCTTTTTTCAAAAAGTAGAGAACCGGTCAGCAAGCATAACATCAGGACGAAAGAACAGTGACACTCCCTTAGATCTGGTCTTCTGAATGACGGACGTGGCTAGGCCAACCTTGTGTAGAATGCATCAATCAGTTCTATGTCCAACAGAAGTGCCTGCAATAGGGAAACTAAAAAAATTAATGTGTTGTGGAGTTTTTTGTTTTTTTCTTTCCTTTGAAGATACATCCATGCCATTGCTAGCCTTTTTTTTTGAAATCTTAGAACTCTGTGCAAAGGGTTTGTTGAAATTACAGCTTGGGAAGTGTTGAGGTTCATAATTTGTGATACTGAGAAACAACTTTGCAGTGTACATTGTGTTTCTTTGATGGATCAGAAGGTTACATGTTTTCACACCATCATCATTTCGTATCACCTGTCAAGAAGGATTCGGAGCAAAAGGTAAGATAACAAACACAAGAGAATTGTGAAGACATTTGAAAATGGATCAAATATCAAGTACAAAGGAAAGGGAGGATAGAACCAAAGCCCTCAAAAGTGAAAAAAGATAAAACTAAATAGAGGCCTAAAAATATCCCCCCTCCCCCCCCCCCACACAAAAACAAAGTGTATGCAAATATGAAAACTCAGAGTCAAGTAAAAAGATTCAACTCTACTAAAAAATAACACCCACTATTTTGCGGTTGATACGAATCTAGACTCCCGGAATTTTAGAAAATAGATTGATGGCACTTAAAACAAGGAATATGCTGAGCGTGAAGGTGCCTTCCCAGGATTTGGTTTGATAGCACAGAAAGAATATTCTAATGGCTTGTCATTATATTGATGCAAGAACGAACTTGTAGTTTATATTCAAGGATAAAATCACGTACCCAAAAATTATCACAAAAATAAAATGTGTCTTTAGTCCAGTTCCCTAGAAATCTACTTCATTTTTGTAGTAAGTTTGTGCACCAACAAGGAAGCCAAAGGCCTCAGTAGCAGCGACGCATGCTTCACGCCGTGTCAACCAACCTGTTCCAGCGCCAAACAGAAGTCTGCCTCTTTCAAGTGGTCTGATAAGGCTGCTATCCACAGGCCTGGACTTTCAATGTATTGGGAAGGAAAAGCCCAAATGTTAAGCCTACAAACCACCTCAGAAGATTGCTTCTTTACTTGTGTTTTAAATTTTCAATTAGCTAACTTTGTGCTTGTAATACTGATTGGCATGAATGCTTTTTATTAAGCCTAGAAACCACCTCAGAAGCTTGCGTCTTTACTTGTGTTTTAAACTTTCAATTACCTAACTTTGGGTTTCTATTACAGATTGGCCTGAACGCTTTTTATTTAATAGGGCTATGCCCTGGTTGTGTTGTATGGACTCGAGGTGATGATGATTATTTACATGTTACCTCCTGAAAATAGGGGTGCAACCACTGGATTATGGTTTAATAATACAGATATAAAACTACGTTGAAAGTAAAGGTGAAAGTTAAGGAACGGTTACCTTCAGATCACGTTCTATGGGATTGTGCCACTGTGGGGATGTTGAGAAGCTCTTTGAAGCAATTGTTAATCTACCACAGCATTTCATTTTTCAGCCATAATTTGAAGATTTTTCTTTGATACCATGTATCTTTTTATGCTGAATAAATGGGAAAAGAGTTAGGTACCCTCGAA